CACAAGGTATCAATCGTTATATGACTCTGAGTTATTCCCAATGAGGGTTGATGGTGTATCACTCACGGGTTGTTGTTGCTCATAGTCAGCAGCAGGCTACTTAATAGGCGGACATTAGAGTGCAGGCCAGCCGCGGCCATGTCCCGTACATGATCTATCACACTCATCTTGTATACAGAGGTTCTCCGGGTCTCCAGCAGATGACACACAAACACAGCTCCACCCAGCTCCTCTGCTCGCGTTAAATCATGGCGCTCACTAGCGACCTCACCAAAACCAGCACATAGCTGCCCGCGGCGCGCCTGATCCCAGATTACACACTTGCTGTCAGATGGAGCAAGTCACATGCTCCTCCATACCAGGAAGTACCCGCAAACTGCTAAAAACGGCGTCTTTTTGTAACTAACCAGACCAAACGCCGTACCTCAGAACAGGCACTCCAGGGGGCACCTGAAATAAGGACGTCATCTGAGATAGGGTGCTGCGGCTCAGCTGTGCGTTCCAACGGAGAGGCGGGGCTTATGCGTTCCACTGGGAGGTGAAGCCTATAAGGGCGGAAGTATTACAAGGCAGAGGGGTGAGAAGAGGAATTGGGGGTAGAGAGGTGGCCGGAGTTATTCGCGATGTCAGAGCAAGCCGTCCTCCTGCTCAGGAAGCAGCTAGCAGGTAATAGTGAGTGTGAGGTGCTGGTGTCGCCGCTTTGTTCTCGACTCCCTCTACTATTGTCTGAGGCGGGGAGGTCTCTACAGCTCGCCTGGCTGCTGGGGGAGTTTCGCAATCTCTATGTCACGATGCTTTCATTAGGGCACGATGTTACCTTATGTCTGCTCTAACCCCCTCTTGTCTCCAGGGGCAGCCACGTTTGAGGTGGTGTACAGCTTTTCTATCGTCTAACACTCGGGATGTTTTCTGAAGTAAAGCTCACCACACACGTTACGATCGCCTCTACGATCTGTGTACAATCTCCTTTGTTGTAGCAAAGCTTTTTAAATGGAGGGCCTACCAAAACTGTGCAGTCAATCCGTATCCAATCGGGGACAACACTTTTTGTTTAAATAATAGCCACAAATCATAGACATCTGCTGTGTGTACCTAATGTCTCAAAGTCCAGATCGTACCTTTTGTAAAAGTGACATCACTGTACTGTACATAGCTAGAGAGAGCAGAGCTGTGGGAGAGAGCCAGCAGGCCCCACCCACTACAGGCTGCCTGTAGGAAACTATAGGAGGGGGCAGATACAAGACCAGTGACCTTGCGCGCACACACAGAGCAGCAGTGACTGGTCTTTATTACAGGAAGCTCCTGAAGTTTCACATTACTGCACAGATCAAGAAGTACACAACACACACCAATGTTCACGTAAGAATACACATGGCTCTTGTATTTAGACAATATTTGCTTATCCTAGAGTTGAGTTTTAAAGCTTGTTACCTCCAATTCCTTATTACTTTGGCTTATTTATCCTGTTCTTGTGTGGTCTCTTTTGTGTTCTTTAATTGCTTGGAAATACCTGAGGATCCTGTCAGTTACCCTTCATTCTGCAGCAGATCAGAGCTGGCACGGCGGTCAGTATCTATACCTGTGTTCCTCTTTGGAGATGCAGGAAGGACACCAGACGCTCACACGTTGGGCAGGCATTTCCTGTAGTTCAGCTCCATGCCGCTGGTCAGCTCTTCTGGGTTGGTTGATAGCGGCTCCCAGCAGCAATGTACACAGACAGGCAATACTCCC